CCGATTTAGACCACAAAGAGCCAATATCCGAGTCCCCAAACCTTTCTGAGCCTCGATGGCTTCACGACCATTGCTTTGCAGAACAAAATACCTCATTGAATGGGGGCAAAAAAGAAGAGGCATTAAGACAGAAGATGGATTCCGAGTTGATAACGCCTCCATCGCTTGCCGTTGGGGAGTGTTCTCTTGATCAGAGGGTGAAAGAGTTGATTGCTTCGCAGAAAAAGTTGATCGAATGGCAACCATACCCTTCTCTGTGCTCAAGAGCCTCTTCTCTGGCAGATAAAAAGGCCTCGTTGTGTAGGTCGTTATGCCATGATACCTCCAGCCGGTTGTATGGAGCAGGTGGACTCGACCAAACTGAAGACACTTCCCGAAGCATGGAATACCCAGCCATTGATGAGACCATCCTCACAACTGTTGCATCCACAAGTGCTGCTAAGGATAGTCAATCGGTGCGAGAAACTGATTGTCGGTGCCTCTTGACGAGCCCATTCAGACCATTTGATCTGAAGCGGCCGGTGCCCGTTGAAGAGTCATCCGATACAGACGAGCTTCAGCAGCTGCATCAAACGAGGACCGGACAGACTTTTAGCCTAGTAAATCGTTTAAGATTAAACAGAGCAAAATAGCACAAGCATAACTTTCGACTTAAGTGTTGGTTGGGTATACCATATTCTTTTCTATATTCTTATGTGTATGCAACCAGCATTTTTCAGGTTGCACGTATATGCGCCCCCAATAATCTCACTTAGTAGTGACCTAGGCCTTTAGTCACTCAAGATCACTGATCCCCATCGGGAATGGTTTCTTAGACGACTCTATAGAGCATATTTCGTTTAATATCTCGAGTTCATGCTCGGGTAGGAGCCCTTGTCTACGACAGCAAAATTAATGTGCATTCATTTAAGGAGACAAAACATCTATTGGCTTCCTTATTTTAAGGTTATTTAAATCAAATTCATACTGTCGCGTTTTGATTAGCCTCAACGTTTACAAGCGGTCTCTGTGAGTGTCAACTTTGCCGTCAAGAAAGCTCATGAAAATATGAGTGAAAATTAATTTTCATGATTCCATGCTTTTCATTATATCTTTAGGACCGGTTTACTCAGCTCCCTGCTTTACTTTCTTTTTCACCATAGTCTGACGGAGCCTCGGAGCAACAATCCGGTCGCGATGTTCACACCGTCAGAAAAATGGATGAAGAGACGAGGCATAGAAGTCTTATTGTAATGAAGTTTGAACCGACTTGTCCCCCGCAAGATGCTTACGATTGCCCCGAGGAGCAACCAGAGTTAGACCTTTACGAGTCGTGTGCCCGATTCAGTGATGGCACAAACCATACCAAATGCTTCGCGATAGGTTGTCAGCCTACCTTGAAAGAGGATCGACTCAGGTGAGAGTAATCTCTAAGACTATTTTAAGTGACTCCTAGTTCTCCGTCGATCTGGTACATCAACCCGGGTAGAGCCCTAACTATTACTGAGAATAGGGAAGGCTGAAAATGCCACTTCGACTGATGAAAACCCCTACTTTAAATCGCCCCAAAAATGAACATAAATATACAGACACAATAATATACACACACAAATGCAAATATGCATGTGCACGAACGTAACCTCGTGCTGATTAATCGTAAGTCTTCTCATGAATCTGCATAATTTCACATAACACGTTATAGCTCATGTAAATCCATGTTTTAATAAACAGGGTTTGGACAAAATTAGTCAAAAGTGAGCTTTAGAATTGTATTGTTTAGTACAACATTGAATAAGGAGAGCACATGTTGCCATCATTTTCATTCCGTATGTACATGGTTCCGTAGATTAGTTCGATTGCGCTTGAGCCACCGAGTATGTGTACTCGAAAGTAGCACTATTTGCCTTAATCCTTCTGTGCAGAACGTTAGGCGACCTGTAGTGACTAAAGTTCACACTCGTCAATTGAACTGGCCAGGAGCTCTTTCCCCGAAATCCTCTTGGCCATTTTCAGCGATCAACTTCCGTTGAGGACTGCTGAACAGTCGCTTCATCTTTGTGCTAAGCTTTTTTTGGTTCCACTGTGGGCTGAATGAGTTAAATAGGGGCTCCTGACTAAACCTTTATTGTGCTTACTCTTGAAGAGGCTTCCACCTATCATTGGCTCTGTTTTGGCTCATTTCTATGCCAAGAGTAACAAAGAGCATAAAAATAAGGTATGTAGCTCTTTTTATCTTGAGTTATTTTTAGTCAGAGTAATGACTTATATATATATATATATATACCTATATATCTATCGTATGTGCCTACATATATTCAATTTATTTTTTATCGTTTTGAGTATATATACAATTGAATAGATATACCTAAGGTCTGTTGGCCTTTTTGTCTTGGTGTTAGCTATACTTTTTTCTCAGAATGATAATCAACCGTAATATATCTGTAAGCTGACATGACAGGCGAGGGCTCGCCCTGTTTTCATCAGAACGGAAGTCTGCGATAACTTGAACTTCATCGAAAATTGAAACGATGTTTGAGCAACGGGAATCCAGTATCTTCTTTTGTTAAGTTATATATACTGATCTCTTTATCTGCCCTTTTGATGCAAAGTACACACCATCGCAACAACCTTGATGCAGTTCTTAATCTCTGTCAGTTCAACATTTCTCTGCAGAGTTTGCAACGTTATCAATTAGGTAATGGATCCTAAATGTATTATTATGGAATTCTTTGGCACGGCAGGTACAGATAAATGTTGACTGAAACTTCGGTATTGATTTTTGGTTACAACTTTTTCTCTCAACAGACTTTATCCTCTATTTTTTTGGTCTATCTCCTTTTTTCGTGTTTTCTAAAAGCGTTATTTTCATTTTCGTATATTGCAATTTACTCAAGTTATGGTCTTCTTTCTGGCAGAATCTTCGCTTGGTTTTTCGTACTGTTGAAAGTGCTTTCTCTTCCTGATTTAGTACCTGTGCTAGTATTTGAAGGCCGTGAATAGCTCTCGCTTTTATATACCTCAGGCTTCTCAACCTTCCCCCCCCCTATTCGTCTCCAGAGATGGCATTTGGCATACATTCGAGGAGAGAACTCATTGGCATCCGTTTTAACATGTCCACTAAACCAATTTATAAAAAGCTGTTCGATTTACTTCAATGGTCAGTATTCTTGGTCACGGAAATCCACTTAAGGCTTAGTAAACTTGTTCTTGTCGCTGTCAATATTTATTTCTCAAATTCAAAATTTCATCAGGCCTTTATTTATATAAAAATCTATAGAGTGAAATCGGTTTCAATTATTGTCATCTTATACATATATTTGACACATGAAAAACTCCTTATTTTACTTCTCGTTATTTGCTTTGAGCTTGTTTCTAAAATCTTTACAGGATCCATAAACTAGCTATGCAGCTTGCTTTGGGCTTGTTAGGCAGATACCACTTACCTTCTTCAGTTTTCTCGACAAATTTCCACTTTTCCTGGCTGGATTCCTTTTAATCTTCAGTGTCATGCAATCGAAAAAGATAAATTAAATGCTTCTATCAAATCTATATAAATTTGAGGAATTTACTCGATCAGACGGAGATTTTATTCTTATGTCTTCGTATTTACGTAAATTTGGGTTCATGCTTCAGCTTAAGCGGTTTCTCCATTCTTTCCTTTTATGTTCTTTGCTCCTCATCCCCTTCATATATCCCCATATTTCCATGCCTTTACTTTTGTGAGTCTCAGACGTCTCTTCCTTTCTTTTCCTCCTCTATTTACGTCCCTTGATTTTGTAATTTCATAGTTCTTCCGCTGGCTCGCCCGTCCTAAACTTCACTCCAGCAACTCCTGCTTCTGGAGTTGCCTCTCTTCATTTCATTCGGCTATCGAGCACAACTTCCAGCCCAACAAGCTCTGATGAGGTCTCTAAATCCGATCGCTCTTACTCTCTGACAGACAACCATGTAACCGATTTTACTTCTTTGGCGGTCAACTCCATGGAGACCAGATGTAATTGTGATGCTATCAGTGCCATTAGTGTTTACGACGACGAGTTCAATGCTGTTGTTGCTGATGATATTGACGACAGTTGGATGGCTAACAGAGGGAGGCCAAACTTGGTCGTTCCTTATGCTCTCCGTCTCAGGACAGCCTCTGTCACTTCCTTCGTGACTTCCAGAAGTACAAATGTAGTTAAAGCCTTAGACATTACCAACAGACAGATTGATCTCCCAACTATCAGAACATCAGAGGCGTTGTCCGACCGTTTTAGTCTGTATCAACCATATGACACCTCTAAACAAGGCCAGCCACCGAAACCGCGGCAAAGCGTAGAAGAAGAGATAAAAGAACTAAGAGAACAATCGAGAGAAGTCCTCTTTGCTCCGAAACCCGCAAGAAAGATTTCCCATCAACCTCAGCTCTCCAACCTGGCTAGATCGAAATTGATGCCACCTCCAAATCGGGCACCACCTGAACTGGTGCAACGGCCCCGGTCGGCTCAAGGACCCATCTGCA